AATCAGCTGGACTCTGATATTCTGCTGCTCCTGATGGGGTACGTTATCGCCATGGCAGAGCAGCCGTCTGACTCTCTTGTTGACATCATGGCTTGGAGAGTGGGAATTTCTTTCCCATTGTACCCAACAGAGCCGGCACTGGCGCGTTGCTGCTGTGTTGATGACGACGCCGTGACGGAGGGAATAGCGGTTGTGTATTCACGATGAAACCTACCGGAGACGTATTTATCGCGTGCGTTTTCCACCTCAGCACGCGGTGGGTGGCGGTCCTTTGAGGATTTTTGTGGACGGGCTGTTTAACCGCGGCCTTTTAGTGAATAGACTCTTTGTGGAAGATGGTGCAATCCGCATGCGGCCCAACGGATGCCCCCAGTACTCCTTGGAGGAGTGTAGGCGAATCCTGCAGAAATTGATGAGGGACGGCCTGCCTGTGATGTGGCATGAGGCAAGTAACCGTCGTTTGGCGCACTCAAGCAGTATCCCCTATGATGTGCCTATCGGCTGTGACTCGCATGGACAAATGCAGACCGTCCACATTCTCGTGGAATCGCGGCAAGCACGTTGGGGCTTTTTTTGAGTTCCCTCAATACTGTGAGTTTTCCTTTTGAATGTGCCATCGCCAGAGAGCGAGATAACCCCGGCCAATTTGTTTTTACTTTTCCAGGGACGAGGCAGTCGAATATTTGATTCCTGTGTGCGGTACGTTGCTCTACCCTGCCGTCTGCCGTGGTGCCTCTCCGACGAAATTATTGACCCATATTTGCCACCGAGAAAGAGAGTGTTGGCTCCGAATGCCGTTTATCTGCGGACGCAACTCTGCAGTCGTACGTGCCATATCTTCCACGCGTATTTTCGAGGGTACGCGTCATTTACCTGGACGCCAACAACGCCATCGTATCATCCTATGCGACACCCTTGCACCGTTGTTGTTGTCGTCACGGTAATTTTGTTTTTCCCCGACGGGAGTGAGACAGGTTTCGCTTTTCACCTGTACGATGTGCTGGATCCCACTGTGGGCGCTGAGAGCGTGGAGCGGAACGATGCCAAGCGTGCAGAAACTGTCTCGCTTAAAAATTGGAGGGCCATTTGTTGTGCAAGCAGGGGGAGATGGTTGTGGTTCTCTCCTCCTTCTAGTTTTTGGTGGCTGTTCTGTCGTTATGTGTGTGTTTCTTGCGTGGATCCCGTTTCGCAGTGCGTGCAGTGTGCGAGTTGTGCCTGCCGCGGGAGGTCGCATCATTACCGCGCACGCAACGGCGACGCCCGGACGATGTGTGTGTCTCTTTGCTGCACCTCTTTGTATTTCCCTTTTGCCCTTCTTTTCTCCGCTCTGCGCGCAGATCTGCTCACCGACTACAGCCACACTACTACTACTACTACTGCTGCTCGCACGTGTACGCGAAAACGATGATGATTGTGTGGTGCGTGTGGAGACAGAGTTGTTGTGTGGAAGCGAAGATTCCGGTGTGCACCGGCGCCCAGTCGGCGAGAGCAGCCGGACTGCGTGTCGTACTGGTAAGAAGCCAGACAGTCGAGATCTAACGGAAGAGGAGGCTTTCAATGCGATAGTCGGCTATTTTGCGGCGAGGAGCTGCTCGGATTACGATGGCACGAATAATTCCGGAGGAATGGAGGAATATATGAATCCTGACCTCACGACGCCCAATACCACCGATGCGTACGGGCGATGGGACTGCATCCATGGTCCTCGGGCACCCGCCCCCGCCGCCAGGGAGCCCACAAACAGCAGTGCGTGCAGCAGCGCCACACAGAGCACATCTCCTTTGAAAAAGAGGATCTAAGCGAGCGGAGAAATCTTGTTCGAAGGTGGCATGTCCTTGCCGACGGTGGAAAGCGGCGAAATTACCATCTTGTGTGTGAAGAAACCACTGCTGCTTCTGCTTTTGGGTCCATGTGGAGTTGTGACAGTTTTCTGAGACACGGAGTGTGGATTTGCGACTTCTAACGGAGAATATGTGCCGCGTTTTCCGCGCGCTTCCTTTTTTCTTTTGTTACTGTTTGTTTTGTTGTTTTCCTGGAATTATAAGTATCCTTGCTGTTTCTTTGCGTAATGTTCGGTTGCTGCACACTGTCATGTGTGACGTGTTTATTGTTTTGTTTTTTTTGCCCACACACGGTGCCGGCCTCATTGCTGTGCGTCCCACGGACTGCACGAAGGGAGGAGCGGAGTAGCAGGCCGGATGCCGCAATGAAGTGTGAAGAATGCTGTGTGGGCTCACGGAACAGTAATATTTTTTTTCTCATGCAGGCAATATTTATACAAAAACACAGGCCTGCCGAGCTGCATGGCGTATGAAATGTTAATTCTGCTGGGGTATTTTTTTTTTTTTTTGGAGGAGGGACTCCTGCTGGACACTCAACTTATTTTTCCGTTTTGGTATTGCTTTTTTACTTCTGTTTTGCAGGTTGGTGTGCGTGTTGCTCGGGTGCTACCATTTGTTTACTGTGCGGTGGTTGTGTGACTTGTCTCTCTTCTTTTTTGCTTTCACTCTGCGTTGACGTGTTGTTAGTTTGTGCTGAAGGCTGCACGCAAGTGACAGGAGTGATGGCGATGATGATGACTGGCCGTGTGCTGCTGGTGTGTGCCTTCTGCGTGCTGTGGTGCGGTGCCGGCGGGGTTTATGCGAGGGACGTCGACAACAATTCACAGGGTGTCTGCATGGTGCTAGGAGGATTGGAAAGAAAACATCGTATTTGGCGAGCGGATGTGATAAAAACGCGCCGACGCTCTCTTTGCGTCCAGCGTTGCCCATTGCTGCCATACAAGCCGAAGATACTGAAGAAGGTGCTGGTTCTGACATCACTGCAGTAGGGGGTGGTGATGGCGGAAGCGGTGTAAATTCTGCTAGACAAGATGGTGCTGGCAGCAGTCAAACTGGTTCTGTGCCTGGTGCTGGTCTCCCTCCTCCTGCTGGTGCTTCCGGTGTTGGAGGTGATCCTTCGGGGTCTGTCACTCCTGGTGGTGATTCGTCACCTGACCGTAGTGTTGGCACGGGGACCAGTACCAGTCTTTCATCTACCTCGCAAGGTGAATCCGAAAAAAAAGTTTTGCAAGGAGATGAGGCAAAGGATCAGAGTCACCAGTTGCCCAACGGAAGGGCACCGGATACGCCCGTCGTTGAAACGCAGTCACGGGGCTCTGATGCAACAAGGGGGCAAGATGTTGGCGACACTTCTACATTGAGTGGAAAAGAACAGCGCTCTTCGGAAGAACCAGAGAAAAAAGACGGGGATTCAGACACTATTCAAACAGTTAATTCACCAGAAGACCCAAATAAAGAATCTCAAGAAAAAGGAAAAGCCTTACCGGAATTATCAAACGCACCACTGCCGAAACCCAAAACCGATCATCCAAAAATGAATCCAGAAAAAGAGAAGAATGGCAGACAGAAGAGGAGTGCATCCACGGATTCACCTGCAAAACAAGAGGGAAATAGCGAGGATCCTGTATCCACCTCGGACATTGCGGAGAGTCTATCGACTGTCAGTCAAGAACCAACAGCAGCGACATCTTCAAATGACAGCTTTTCCCCACTTCAGAAGGAAATATCCGTTGAAAAGACTACTGTGGAGAATTCTCAACCTTCCGATACTGCACAGACAGAAAAACGCCAAAGTGTAAATAAGGAAAAGATTGGCGACAGTGACGGCAGCACCGCGGCCTCCCACACCACCTCCCCTCTTTTGCTTCTTCTTCTTGTTGCGTGTGCGGCTGCTGCGGTGGTGGCCGCGTGAGAGTGAGTGTGAGAGAGAGCCGTGCACCGCCCGCACACACACTCGTCCTTCTCTCTGTGTGTGTGTCCCCTTGCATGGACTCTCGCCCTCACCTCACCCCACGAGGCACACACATAATGTGCCCATTGTATATATGCATGCACACCCATGCAGGCCCGTTGGTGCTCTCTTTTGCACGACACGCACCGCTGCCGTCCTGCCTGGCTGCATGGGCGGAGCACAGTAACTGTTTCTGTTTTTATTGCATTGAGTGGGCGACCTCTCTCTCTCTCCCTGTGTGTGTGTGTTTTGCTTTACGGGAGCAATGAGAGTGTGTGTGCGCTGGTCGTCCCACGCTTCGGCTTTTTGTTTTGTTTTTCTTTTTGATTTTGTGGTTGAGTGCACCCATTCCGCGGCTGCGTGTGTGTGTGCGATGATATGAGTAATTTGCGTGTGTGCTATCTGCCTCTCTCTGCCGTTGCTTTCTTCAGACTCTCTTGTGGCGCACAGCTGCTCCGCAAGTATAGGCGCTGCCAAACACACAAGCACATGCACACACACATGCCGTGTTTAAAACGCTGAGAATGCATGCACGCACAGGATTGTGGCTGCGGTTGCCTCTGCGAGAAGAGTTTGATTCCGCGATTTGCCTCGTCGACGTTTTGCGGGCGTGATGTTGTCGGTGTGCAGTCAGTGAGTGGTGTGGCATTTCGGGTGCCTGGGACAATTGCGGATTGATTTGCTTCCAAAAGCTGTACCTGCCGACGTGGCACTGCCGCTGTGTATCCGTTGACGGGGGATTTTCCGGCGTGCGGAGTGATGTGCGGGTGCGCTGTAGAGACAACGGCAATACGACTGGCGACAGCGCATGGGTGCTGTGATGTGCGGCTGTGCCCTTTTGCCTCCCGCTGTTTGTGTTTTTTGCTTGGGCGTTGTTGTGTCTGCTGAAGCGTGACGAATAACGACGCGCCCGCTGTGGCTTTTACTGCTGGTGGCATTCGCTGTGTGTTCCCGGTGCACTGTTCTTCCTTCTCATTCCGTGTGTCTGTGTGCGTGAGTTGTTGTTGTTGGGAGTGACTGCGGTGGGGATGATGGTGCCACTCACCGTGGATGGATGGCGGTGCTCACTGTTTTACTTCTTTTTCCTCTTTTCCTCTTCTCCACACAAAGAAGGAAAGTACGTAAGGCTAAACGCGAATCGCTACCGTGAAATTCGAAGGCACTGAAAGAACCAACAGCACACACACCGCCCACACACACATATTTATATGCTCTCACGTGTTGCTGCAGTGAAGGCACCCCGCACACACAACCGTCGCCGCGTGACCGGATCGAGCGGAAGGAGGAGGGAAGGAAGAGAGAGTGAGCGGCGGAGGCCCAACATGTTGAGGCATCTCTTCTACTCTGCGGTGCTGCTCCTCGTTCTTGTGATGATGTGCTGCAACGCTGTTGGTGCTGCGGAAGGTCCGGAGCAGTCAACAGTTTCAAAGTTTGAATGGAAAGACGTCAAGGATGAGGGTGGTGGTGATTTAACTGTGGAGTCGTTGGGTGCTCCCGGCCTTCTAAAAGTGGGGAGTGACGTGTTTGCCGTCGCCGAGGCGAAAAACACGGGGAAGGAGGGTCAAGGCAGCTTTACTGGCATTGTATCCCAACTTCTCACGGAAACAGCGAAAAAAAAGGATAACACACCGGTGGAAATAATGAATGATGCCAACACGAAGACACAATTTCTGGAGGAATCTATTTCCGCAGGCCCAAAGAAGAAAGTGGATGTGAGCCGACCAACAACAGTTGTGAAGGGAAGTGATATTTACATGCTTGTTGGGAAATACAGCCGTAATGATGCTCAGGGGAGTGGTGGTGACTGGGGACTTTTGCTGGTGGAAGGGGAAGTCGGTGGTGAAGAAAATAGCAAAAAAATTGACTGGAAAAATACTGAAAGTCTCCCGCGAGGACCTTTTGGCACAGAACTCGAATCCTTGATGGGACTGTTTGGAGGCGGTGGATCGGGTGTTAAGATGCACGATGATACGCTTGTGTTTCCAGTGGAAGCCACGAAGAAGGGTGACGCACAAAAGGATGTGAAAACCGTTTCGCTGATTATACACAACTCGAAGGATGCTGCGAGTTGGAAGCTGTCGAAGGGGACGTCTGCCGATGGATGCAGTGATCCCTCCGTCGTGGAGTGGAAGGACAAAAAACTCATCATGATGACTGCGTGTGATGATGGCCGCCGCAGGGTGTACGAGTCCGGTGACAAGGGGGAGTCGTGGACGGAGGCACTCGGGACACTCTCGCGTGTGTGGGGCAACGAACAGGACGGAGAAGGTGGCGTTAGAAGCGGGTTCATCACAGCGACGATTGACGGCGTTGATAATAACAGAAATGTGATGCTCGTTACTCTGCCGGTGTATTCCGAGGAGGCTGATAAAGGTAACGAGGAAAAGAGTGAACTCCATCTTTGGCTGACGGACAATACGCACATTGTTGATATTGGGTCGGTATCCGATGATGACGCTGCCGCCAGCTCCCTGTTGTACAAAAGTGGTGAAAGTGGAACTAATAATGATGAGTTGATTGCACTGTACGAGAAGACGGGCAAAGGAGAATCATATAGTCTGTGGTCTGTGGTCCTGACTGAGCAGCTGCAGCGTGTGAAGGAGGTGGTGGCGACCTGGAAGAAAGTGGACCAAACTGTCTCCAAGCTGTGCCCTTCTGGGAGTACGGAGAAGAGTGCCTCAACCGACAATGCCTGCAGCGCTGTCATTCCGACGGATGGGCTGGTTGGCTTTTTGTCCGGCAACTTCTCTGGTAACACATGGAGGGACGAGTACCTCGGGGTGAGCGCCACAGTGAATGATGATGGGGGTGATAAGGCAACATTGCATGCCGGCGGAGTGAAGTTCCGGGGAGCGTGGGCTGAGTGGCCTGTTGGCAGTCAGGGGGAGAATCAGCTGTACCACTTTGCGAACTACAACTTCACTCTTGTGGCGACGGTGTCCATCGACAAGGTGCCGGAGGAGGGTTCTCCCATTCCTTTGATGGGTGTGCGTCTGAACGATGAAAAAAAAACCAAACTTATGGAGCTGTCATATGACAGCGGAAATAAGTGGCAGGTGCTGTCCGGTGACAAAACTTTTAAGGAGCTTAAGAGCGCTTTGGAGCCAGAGAAAACACACCAAGTGGTGCTTGTGGTACGGAACAGCACTCAAGGCTCCGCGTATGTCGATGGTAAGCAAGTGGGTGGGGACGAAGCGTGTGCATTGGAGAATATGGATTCAAGAGCGGTATCCCACTTCTACATTGGAGGGGGCGGAGGCAGTGCAGGCGGCGCAGGGAGACAAGAAGAAGAGATGTCTGTGACTGTGACGAACGTCCTGCTGTACAACCGCCCGTTGAGTGCTGCGGAGATTGGCGCCCTAAACCCGAATAAACCCTCTATTTCACCTGTGGTGCCTGAAAATGGCCAAGGAACCCAGTCGCATTCCTCTTCTGCCGGGCAATCGCCGTTGAGGCCTAAATTGTTGAATGGCAATGAGGGTGCGGGCGGTGGCAGGGCGTCCCCATCAGAACCGTCCACTGTAACGACTTCCTTAGGAAAAGAGCAATCCGAAATTCAGCCGCCTTCAGTAATATCTTCCGGTGGAAGTAAACATGTGGATGTCGCTTCTTCATCCGATGGTGATCCAACGGTGGGAGCAGAAGCTGGAGGTGCGATGCAGGGAGACACACCACCCCAAACTCCTGTGGATACCCCCGACACAGCAGGTGCAAACGCTCCTACCGCCACGGACACAGCTCAAGTTGGCCCCACAGCTACAACTGGGGTGGGTGCGATCTCTGGTGCGAATGTGGAGACGGCGGAAGGGAGGGATGGGCAGGAAGAGCTCCATGCACGGGACGGCGAAGTAAAGGGTGCGGCACTCAGCAGCAGTCTCGGAAATGTGTCGCAGGGGAATAACAGCGATGCCGGCACTGTGTGTGGGAGCGGACTGCTGCCGCTGCTTCTGCTGTTGGGACTGTGGGTGTTTGCGGCTCTGTGAGGAGTGACTGGCAGCCGCGTGGGACACTTGCGGCCTTCCCTGCACCGACACACACACGGTAATTAATTTATTTTCTTTAATAACTTTTATTTACTTTTTCCCTGTTTGCTTTGCTGTGCGTTTTTATATCCCCATTTCTTCCCTTTTCTTTTTTTTTGCTTTTGGGGCAATCACTATGGACGTTTTTTCTTTTCTACTCTTCCCTCTTTAATTGTTTGTTGCTGCACTCTTCCTGCGAGGGGTGCCGTGTGTTTCCGCCCAACTGCTCCACTCGCACACCACCGACACGCACATGACGACGGCCCTGTGCGCCTCGCCTGCTGCACGCATGAGGAGGGGCCGCGACGAACGGCGCGCTGAGGGAGCCGTGACGTGTGGGCGTGCGACGAGGGCCTGTGGGGCGGAGCACACATTTCTTCCCTCTTGTTTTGTTTTCTTTGCGGCCAGGGCGGGCAGACACCCGCAGCGCCACACACACAGCCACACCCTGCCGCCGTGTTTTTCTTTGAGGATTTGTTTTGCTTTGCGTGTTTATTTCATGCGGTGGCGCACCCTTCGGTGTCGGCCTCGTGAGCATTTCTCTCCCCTCCGATGATTTCTTTTTTTTCTGCGCTCACTCTCCCGATGGAGTGACGCGACTGCCGTCATGTCTGCGTGCTTCTCTCAGTCCCTACACACACGAGTGACTGTGCTCTGCGGGCCGCACTCACGCGCCGATGAGAGGGCTGGGGGGAGCAGCAACACGCAGATGACCCCGTGAAATATAAACGATGTGCGGACACACGGATGGTCGGACGGTTGAAGCACACGCAACCATCTTTTTAATTTTCTTTTGCGGGCAAAATACATACAGACAGTTTGGTGTGGCCACACGGCAGCCAGGCGATTTTTTTCTTATTTTAAAATTTGTGTGGATCAGTAATGGACGATTTCTTTTCATTTATAATTATTTTGTGTGATGGGGTTTACATAAGACGAAGGGGGAAGCTTTTTTGTTTTCAATAAATATTGTGTGAATTGGCGCTGCTTGGGCTGCAGTGCAGTCATGAGTTTGAGCGGTCTTCTTGTTGTTGTTTCCGTTATGCGTCTCCGCTGTACATTTTTGTGCGTCCCTCCACATACTCTGCTCCCTCTTTTCTACGTCTTTGCTTTGTGTTTCTGCAGGCACACACACACAAGATGCACATTGCAGTGGATATGAATGCACCCTTTGTAGTGCATGCTGGCAGTTGCGTGTGGCGGCTGTTGTCTTCTTCCGTGGCCATGAGGAGGAGGGGGGAGAGGGGGCACGCACCCCGAGTCTATTTTCCTGCGGGTGTGATGCACCGCGTGTGACTGCGTTGAGTTGGGCTGCGTGTCCCATTGATGGCGGGGTGGCGGGAAGTTTTATGCCGCGTGATGGATGGATGAGGGTCCACTGTCGCGTGTGGCTGGTATGGTGGGTGCTCGCTCCGTGTGCGTTGTGTGGGCGGCCACGTGCAACACATTGATGGATCTTCGTCCTTCCATTGGCACCATGAAATTTGATCCGAAGTACATGACTGACATGGCGTGGAGCGTTCGCGTTGCCGCACACGAAATTGCGCATGGACTTGGGTTCAGCCAGGAGAGCATGAGAGAAAAGAGCCTGGTGAAGAAGCCAGAGAGAAGTGTGCGTGGGAAGCACCGCAAGATGGTGGCGGGGAAGCACATTCAGGAGAAGGCGAAAGCGCACTTTGGTTGTAAGACTCTCGAGGGCATGGAGCTGGAGGACGAAGGTGGCCCTCGGGAAAAGGAAATCCCTTACTGGAAGGGACGCCACGCGCGGGACGAGCTGGGGCAGAAGCACTGGCTGCGACTTCCTGGTCAACAAGTGCAATACAACCGATAATCTTGCCGCCAACTATCCTCACATGTTCTGCGATGCTAAAGACACAGAGACGCTTCGCTGCACCTCCGACCGCCGTCACGTTGGGACGTGCACCGCAAACATTGTTGAGGGAAAAGGGAGTCTGGTGGATAAGGACGTCTGCCCTGTTGTTTCTTTGGAATTTCACGAAATCTCGTCTGGGACAACGTACCGGACGTGCTCGGACGAAAATGTGGATTATCTCCGTGGGTCGCTGACTGGCGGCGGCTCGTGTTGCCTGGACGCGGAATTACTGGAGACGAAGGACGGTGATGGCCATAAAAGCGTCAAAGGAGTGTGCGCGCAGGTGTCGTGTGAGGGGGGCACAGTGAGGGTGAGGCACCTCGGCAGCGGTGTTTTTCAGCCTTGCCCTGAGGACACTGACATCTCAGTGGCGTTTAAAGTTTTTCAGAAAGATGGGAGGATTAAGCGCCCCACGTACGGCGAGGTGTGCACCATTGCCGCCAACGGCAGCAGTCTTGTCATTCCGAGTGCGTTGGTGAATGGACAGGGTGACGAGCACGAGGAGGAAGCAGAAGAGTCTGCGGTTGCTTCAGGGTCGCCTCCGGAGGAACTCCTCCGCAGTTGTCTCCTGTGGTGTCTGGTGCCTCCATTGAAAAGGAGCCTCCCGGTGCTTCGGCTGCGGGTGTCGCTGGTGGTGGCCTTCATGCCGGTCCGAGGGGTGATCCGGGGTGCGGACCGAAAGTGAGGACAACACTCAGCGGCGAGGGAGGAGACCTGGCAGTGGGAGCGAGGGAGCCAATAGACCCTCCGGCCCCGATGCTTTCTTTGCGCCATCGCCCGGCGAGGACGTTGCACGGGCGGAGGGCGACCCGCGGGCGGATTGCCCAGCGGTGATTTCTAGTGCCTCCGCGCCTGCCACTCCGATTCCTTCCGTCAATAGCGACGATTTTCAGGCGATACCCGATGCGTTGGTGCAGCAGGCCGACAGTTATGGCGGTGTCGCTGCGGCAGTGGTGGTGCCTCTTTGAGCAGCCGCGGCGACTGGGCTCAATCAAACCGCGGCAGGGCGACAGTATTTACTTGGCACATCGACCTCGCACTCAAGATGTGCAAAACCGTAGCAATGACACTACAACACACTCACTGCATTCCCCATGTCCTTCATTGCTTGTGGTGATGGGCAAAATGACCGGTATTTTATTGCATTGTTTGTTATTCTGGGAAAAGGTGTTTTTGTTTTATTGCTTGGAGGGTCTAACTTCCGTGAAAACTGTGTGTGAACGAAGTAACATGGAGAGAAAAGAGGGTTCCCAGCACCACATGTATTCACGCGTTTTTTGATGCGATTGGGACGAGGGGAAATCACTGTATTCTAATCATGAGTAAAAAGTAAAGGAGATGTGCTCCAATGGAGGCGGGGTCGTACCAGCAGCTTTTTCTCTGAAGGACAGGGACGACTGCCTCTGCCTCCGCAATTGGTGCATGCGGCTTTATCTTTCACACTTTTGCTTGGTTTTGTGACTTTGCTTCTTTTTTGTGCGTCATTGCGAGAATGTGGACCTCAAATAATTTCCGTGCTTCGGCTTTCAATCTGCATGCGTCTTTTTTATTTTTTTGCCTTCCCGTTTTTTTTGCATCCGTTTTTGATTGGCTGTGTGTGTTTCGGGTGCTCTGCTGCACTGCGGGTGGTGTGTTTTAATTCCCTCTGTCCCTGCTGTTCTGATTGTGAGAACACGCTGTGGGTCAGGGTGCATGGCTCCGTGGTTGCGGCACTATTTGTTGTGGTTGCGTTGAGGCAGCCCCGAAAAGACTGCCAACGTGTGGCTCCTGGGTGTCTCGTTGGGCTCTTCTCCGTCTCCTGCGCGATGGACTCCCGTCGCCGGCGCACCCTTTCGTGCAGTGGCGTCAGCGCAACAAGGTGGCATTTTTGCTGTTGTTGCTGCTTCAACTGTTTTGTGTTTTCCTCTGGTATTGTGAGGTGCGGGTGTCGGATGTGGCGGCAATGAGCCGAACATAAGGAGGAGGACGGTGCGTGCGTGCGGGAGGACCGTGCGGTGTTGGGGCGGTGCGCACTGTTTGCGGGCTTGATGCGCCCCTTTGGTGCATGACGTGTCTTGGTGTGTCCTTCTTGCCGTGTGTGGTGCCAGCCGGCTCTTCACGACTGTGGCAATGACGTGTTGACAGCTGTGTTTGGATTGGCGCTGGATGTTCCACCCTCTGGGGCTACGAGGACGTATGCGTCACAATGAGCGACACCAATCGCGCACGATGCCTGGTCTGCAAGCAAGTGACGCACCGATTGCGACGCGGCGCGGCCCTCTAGCCTTTTTTGACCCTCTGGTAGCCCACAGTCTGATGTGTAGCCGTAGTGGTCTCCTCTTTTCTCGCTCCTTTTGTGTGTGACCGCATGTACTGACCACAACAATTGTACAACACAAGTATTACAGAGTGCAGGCTTGTGTGTGTGTGTCTGTTGCTGTAGATTGGAGTGTGTGTCGTGCGTGGTGTGCGGCGTACGGTGCATGCCTGGCTGCTGCCCTCTCCTCATGCGGTGTGCCCTCTGTGTGTGTCTGCCGCACCTCTCGTCTCCCCTGTTGCTCTCCATGTCCCTCACTGTGCAGATCAGCCCCACACCACTGAACGACCACACTCACGATGATGATGACGTGCCGTCTGCTGTGCGCCCTGCTGGTGCTCGCCCTGTGCTGCTGCTCGTCCGTGTGCGCGGCAGAGTCTCCGGAGAAGGATGATGAATCCAGGACGACGACGAACAAGAAAACACAGCCACCAACTACTGACGAGCCGTCTGGTGCTGATGGAAACGTCAACAGTCTTTCTTCTATTTCAGTGTCAGGACTACAAGAGAAGGATCAGTCAGAGTCATTAGGTTTGGTCCCCGTTGCGGACAATGGAACAAAAGCCGGCGCGGGTCCAGGTGCGGCCACTCCGGTAAAGCAATCAAACGACCAGAACAATGTGGTAAATGCCGAAGATAAGAAAAGCACGACAGAGTCACAAAGTGGTACGAGCAGTTCTCCGGAAAATGAAGATAATAAAGCCGAAGATGCTCCCACGAAGACGACCACTACAACACAGACACTAACTAAAAAAAGTGCCAACTAAAACGACCACGACCACCACTGCGCCAGTGGCACCAACCACGACGACCACCCGCGCACCGTCACATCTTCGAGAAGTCGACGGCAGCCTCAGCAGCTCTGCGTGGGTGTGTGTCCCGCTGCTGCTCGCCGCATCCGCGCTGGCGTACACCACTCTGGGCTGAAGAGGTTTTTGCCAACTGTGCGTGCCAGCACTCAGCCACGGGATTTGTGAGCGTCTACTGTGGTCCGATGTAAGTAACTAGGATAAAATAATGTTTGTGCTTTGCTTTATTTGCTTCCGCTGCCCTGCTGCGTGGTCCATGTTGCTTCTCCAAATACTTCATTTTGAACGCATTCCAGACACACCCATGTGCATGCGCAGTGGAGTCTTGTGTTTGTTTCATTTTCTTTTTTAATTTCTTGTTTTCTTTCTTTTTAGTCTTCTGGTTTGCAGGGCGGTGTGCAATTTTTGCATTCGTGCTGATTCCATTTGCCTCATTGTATGTGCTCTATTGCTGCTGCCATTTGTCACTGTACGGTGGCTGTGGCGTGGTGTAGCGGCCGTGTCTCTAATTTTTGCTTTCACTCTGCGTTGATGTGTTGTTAGTTTGTGCTGAGGGCTGCACGCAAGTGACAGGAGTGATGGTGATGACGATGACTGGCCGTGTGCTGCTGGTGTGTGCCCTCTGCGTGCTGTGGTGCGGTGGTACCGTTTTGGTGTTGGCGGCCGGTGATGGCGATGGCGATGGCAGAGGTGTTGATAGTGAACCTTTGCTGGAAAGCGCAGAAAGTGCAGCATTATTACCAAGCAGCCCTGAATCACGTGTAGAGTTAAAAGTAGTTTCAAATCCACCGCCGAAACACGTGGAAGAAGTACATACACCCGCAAAAGAATCTTCGGCAGAAGAAGAAGAAGCAGGAGAAGAGGAAGTAACAGTAAAAAGTGAAGAAGGACAACAAGAAGACGAAAATTCACTACAAGTGAATAGAAGGAAGACACCCGAACTTCTAATAAATGAAAATGAGACACCACAAGCTCGAGAAGGAGAAGGAAGCCTAACAGCAGGAGCATTGGAAGAATCACCGACAACGCCAGGACCACAAGCACCGACGCTACAAGTACCACCACCATCACCATCACAAGCATCAGTTGTTGGTGAAGGCGATGGCGGTCTTGTTGGAATTGGTGGCACTTCTCGTGTTACTGGTGAGGCCACTAAAGATCCTAAAGGAAGTGAAGGTCCCATTTCCGGGCCGCCTTCCGGTGGTGCTTCTTCATCTACCACTTCCAACGATGGAGACGCTTCACGGAAGAATGGCGGTGCACCATCCACTCAGGACACGACATCTTTAAAAAACAATGAGCAGTCAGGGCCAACAACATCTTCAGGGAACGCACCACTCAACAGGGGGACACCGGAGAGATCAACACCCGATGCAAAACGGCACTTCTCTGAAACACAAGAAAATGAAACGAGTCGACTTCCTGATGGGGATGCAAATTACAGCGCCGCGGGGCAGAGTGCCGTGGGGACGAAAGGCTCTTCCGGCGTATCGACTACCGCCAGCAACGCACCAACAACACCTCTACCACAACTGCCAGCACCACCAGTACCAACAGTATCGACAGTAACGGGAGCGCCGGCAGAAAAACCAACTGCAGAACAATCACCACCACCGGCAGATTCAACAACAGGAGAAGGCCTAGCAGCAACAACAACAGCTCAAACGAATGATACGGCAACACCTGGCGACAGGGACGGCAGCACCGCGGTCTCCCACACCACCTCCCCTCTTTTGCTTCTCCTTGTTGTTGTTGCGTGTGCGGCTGCTGCCGCGGTGGTGGCCGCGTGAGAGAGAGTGAGGGAGAGAGAGCCGTGCACCGCCCGCACACACACTCGTCCTTCTCTCTGTGTGTGTGTCCCCTTGCATGGACTCTCGCCCTCACCTCACCCCACGAAGCACACACAATAATGTGCCCATTGTATATATGCATGCACACCCATGCAGGCCCGTTGGTGCTCTCTTTTGCACCGCACGCACCGCTGCCGTCCTGCCTGGCTGCATGGGCGGAGCACAGTAACTGTTTCTGTTTTTATTGCCTTGAGTGGGCGACCTCTCTCTCTCTCCCTCTGTGTGTGTGTGTTTTGCTTTACGGGAGTAATGAGAGTGTGTGTGCGCTGGTTGTCCCACGCTTCGGCTTTTTGTTTTGTTTTTCTTTTTGTGTTGTGGTTGAGTGCACCCATTCCGCGGCTGCGTGTGTGTGTGTGTGTGATGATATGAGTAATTTGCGTGTGTGCTATCTGCCTCTCTCTGCCGTTGCTTTCTTCAGACTCTCTTGTGGCGCACAGCTGCTCTGCAAGTATATCTATTGAAAAACACACATGAACACACACACGCCATTATGCATACTCTGTAGAGCGGCGTGATTGCTGAGAATGCATGCGGAAGATTCTGGCTGCGACGTCCCTTGCGAGGAGGGAGGACGGGAGCCTGCGATTTACTTTTTGACACGTTGCAGGCGTGCAGTCGATTGGGCGGTGTGGCTTAGGGTGCCTGGGACAAGTGCGGATTGCTTCTCGTCCAGCTGCTGCACGTGCCGATGTGTACCTCATATGCTGTGTATACTTTGGTCAGGGATTCTTTGCCTGTGTGGGGTGATGTGCGCTGGCGGATGCGCTGGAAGGGTGAACAGTAAAACAACTGGCGACAGCGCGTGGGCTTTGAAAAGGACGGTCTTGTTCCCTTTTGCATTCTGCCGGTTGCTTTGCTGGGTGTGGGCGTTGCTCGGTGTGTGCTGACGCGTGACGAAAAACGCACCCGCCGTGACTCCTGCTGCTATTGGTGGCAGTCGCTGTGTGTTATCGGTGCACTGTTCTTCCTTCTAATTCCGTGTGTCTGTGTGCGTGAGTTGTTGTTGTTGGGAGTGACTGCGGCGGGGATGATGGTGCCACTCAGTGTGGATGGGTGACGGTGCTTATTCTTTTACTTCTTTTATTGGCCTGTTTTTCTTCATTTCTGCCACTCTCTTACGAAGAAAGCAAACAAGCGCTAAACGCCACTGTGAAATTCGAAGGCTCTGAAAGGACCAACAACACACACACCGCCCACACACATATTTAAATGCTCTCGCGTGTTGCTGTACTCGCGCTTCAACGCGTCCAGCACAAACGGCTCGGCGGCAGCACCTCCACCGTCTTCGGCTGCTGCATCACCGTGTTGTACAGGCGGTACGCGTTCCGTTACTTCTTCGTCAGTGCCTCTCCCTCCATACCACTCAGACGGTAGTGCCATTACAGCGCAAACGCAACCGCCACGTCCGCAACCGTCATGCGCTCGCCCACGAGGAATGTGCGCGCCTCCAGCGCACGCAGCACCTCGTGCATGCGTTCCATCGCGTTGGCGGGCAGCGGCTCGCCACGGAAGGCGTGGTGCACGAACTGTGCGGAGGCAGCGTCCAGCTCCGTTGCCGCAAAGTCGAGCCACATGTCCACCTGGCTGCCCTCCAGCGGCGTGCGGCCGTACAGGAAGCCGCCGCTCCGGCCAAGGCGCGCGATGTGGCGCAGGATGGCGTTGGACTCGAACACACAGCCCTCCTCCGCCTGCAGCACGGGGTAGCGGCCGCACGGGCTGCAGTTGCGGCAGTACTCCGCCGTCTCGTTCTCGCGGCCGTACTCGCACGCCTTCAGCGTCACCGCAACGTTGGCGAGGGCCGCAGCAGCCAGAAGCTTGTGCGTGCGTGCGTTCTCGGTGTTCACACCGCTCCAAAGCGTGAGCGACATGGCGTATGTGTGTGCTTGTGTGTATTTTAGTGTGCCGTGTATTTTTCAGTGCTTACAGTTGCAGAGCAGCTGCACGGCACAAGAGCGGCAAGAGAAAGCAACGGCAGAGAGAGGCAGATAGCACACAAGGAGATTACTCATATCATCACACACACACGCAGCCGCGGAATGGGTGCACTCAACCACAAAACAATGAAAAACAAAACAAAAAGCCGAAGCGTGGGACGACCAGCGCACACACACTCTCATTGCTCCCGTAAAGCAAAACACACACACAGAGGGAGAGAGAGAGAGGTCGCCCACTCAATGCAATAAAAACAAAACAGAAACAGTTACGGTGCTCCGCCCATGCAGCCAGGCAGGACGGCAGCGGTGCGTGTCGTGCAAAAGAGAGCACCAACGGGCCTGCATGGGTGTGCATGCATATATACAATGGGCACATTATGTGTGTGCCTCGTGGGGTGAGGTGAGGGCGAGAGTCCATGCAAGGGGACACACACACAGAGAGAAGGAAGAGTGTGTGTGCGGGCGGTGCACGGCTCTCTCTCCCTCACTCTCACGCGGCCACCACCGCAGCAGCAGCCGCACACACAACAACAAGAAGAAGCAAAATAGGGGAGGTGGTGTGGGAGACCGCGGTGCTGCCGTCACTGTCGCCTGTCGTCGCCGTCGTGGTTTTCATGGCTGCGGCCGTCACTGGTGTTTCTTTTGGATTGGCTTCTTTATTTTCATCCGGTTTTTCTTCTCGTGTTCCTGCATCATCAGCTGCTGGATCACTGTTCGGGATGCCCTCTTCAGTGCTATTGTCAGCTTCATTATTGGCGGCATCACCGTTTGCCGTGGGTGAAGGTGGCCCTGATTCTTCATGGTCGTCTTGAACGCGTTGTAGCGGTTGCACGGGTGGTAAATCCTCAGTGCTGGAATGTCCATTCATTGTTGCTGGTGGTGGCGGTGGTGTTGTCGTTTGTATTTCTGCGTCGTTGGCTGGACGTCCATGTGTCTCTGTTGGTGCCTCATGACTCATTTTTCCTTTTCTTAGTTCTTGTATTTCGTTTAGCTGTTTTTTTGGCACCAATTCACGACTGTCAGACTTATTTATATGCTCTTCTTCTTCTTCCGTCAGTGTCTCATCGGAGGATTCATCACTCTTGTTTTCCTTTTTCAAAGAGAGTTCTTTGGCACTTTCAGGGTCAAGGCTGCCAGAGGATGAAGAAGACTGATCAGTTCTTGGTTTTTCGAGATGAGGCTCACTTCTATTGTTTTTACTGTCGGTGTGTTCCCCATCATTTGGACCCAACACCCCTGGCTTCCCCTGCTGTCCTTTTGTGCCTGATTCTTCGGGCTTCGGCGG